TACAGCACAGCCTGACCCACAGCCGAGGGTTAGGGTTAGGGTAGGGGGCAGACACGGATGGTGGTCTTCCCTCAGATAAGGGAGATTGCTACGTCGCCCTGGACGGCACGTCCCACAGGCCCGTGAGGCGGGCGGACCACACCGAGCTCGCAGAGATGCCAGCGGAGTTCGAGCACACCCGCGCGCAGGTCCGGGCCCTGCGGGACAAGGCATGGGTACGAGCCCTCGAGCAGAGGGCAAGCGACCTCTTCGACGAGGGGGAGAGCGATACCGAGCACCACGAGCTCTCCGTCATCGCCGCCGCCCTGGCGGCGGCGGCGGCCCGCCAGCGGGCCGCCGCCGGGGACGTTGGGGACCCCGCCGCAAACCCCGTGCACCACCCTTCCAGCGGGCGAGTCACCTGGCCCCGCGCGGCCGAGCAATCAGCGCCTTTGAGCGCGGCCGCGCGCACCGCCAGCAGGGAGACCGGCGGGCCGCTCTACGGCGCGGCGACCCCCGGTGGCGGCGGCCGACCTCACCCTCACCCCGAGGCCGGCCCCCGCCGTGCGCCTCCCGCACCCCTCGGGCCTCAGTGCCACCATTCCGGTAACCCGCCCCGCGACAGATTCCGCGCGCGATTTCTTTCTGCATTGCCGTTCTTAACGGAGTCGCTTAGGCGGCTCCGGTGGTGAGCCTGTGTGTGTGCCAGTCCGCGCCAGTCTGCGCCCTTGTCGTGCCAGTGTGCTGTGAGAGAGGCTTGTGACTTAAGAATTCTTTCTGGGGGAAGGCTTCGACGGCGGCGTCGGCGGCGCGAGGCCCCCGCCGCACCCCTATCGGTCCGTCGAGCCCATGACCTGGTCATGCGGCGCCTGCACCTTCGAAAACAGGGACCACGACCGAGCGTGCACGGTGTGTGAGACGCCGCGACCGTCTAGCCAGCCGACGCCGGCAGTCCCGTTCAGCCAGCCGCCATCAAGCCGGACGCAGCGCGTTCAGGTCTTGATTCCAGCGGGCGCTTTCGAGGGCTCTACCTTTCGCGTGTCCGTCGGCGGCGAGCTCTTCGAGGCGGTAGTTCCTCCCTTCTACCGCCCTGGCATGAGCCTCGCGATTGAGCTGCCAGCAAGAGGGAATGCGCTGCCGGCGTGGAGCTGCAGTCGCTGCACGCTGGAGAACGAGCCCCACGAGCAGGTGGCTGAGCGCCACAGCGCTCCGCTGCCAGATACAGCTACACAGCTGCAGCTGCACAGTTCTGACGGCGTCACCGCGTCCACAGGCTTGTGCGGCCTGCGGCGGTCCTCGTCCGGCGGCTGCCGAGCAGCAGCCGAGCGAAGAGGAGCAGCTGGCGGCCGCCCTGGAAGCAAGCCGGTGCTCGCCGATCACAGGGTCGGGTCTCAAGCTGGTGCTGTCACGTGAGCGGCTGCCTCCTCACCCGCAGGCTTGAGGCGCCGCCGCCCGCGCCGGAGCTGGTCGCGCGCCACACTGAGCTGGGCTTATCCCCAGACGAGGCAAAGCCCGAGGCAAGGGTGCGCTTGAGGGCCTCGCCGAGACTTCGCGCTCGTTGTAGGCGCTCGAACTGGCGCTGATGCAGTCGCGCGTGGATGCGTCCGGCGGCCCGCCAACCCACCACTCCGACATCACCCCGCCGCCTCCGCCGCCGACCGCCGGGCGGACAGCGTCAATCGCCCTCGCGAGACCTGTCAAGGCGGAGGCGGGCGGAGGGGCCTCCAAGCCGATCCTGCTCGCCAAGGTGCTGAGCGGCGTGGCGGGCATCGCAGGAGGCGGGAGGGCTCGCGGTGAGCTCCGAGAGAGCTTGCTCGATGGCGAAGGCGAGAGGTCGGCGGCTGCAGGCGTGAGCAGCAGTGCAGAAAATCGCTACCAGGCGCCGGTTGTCCCCACGCCACAAGTGGCGACGCCGTCGTCTGAGATGGACCGTTCCGTCACCCAGCCGCTTAGTCTCAGCCGCCTCCTGCCTCTGGGCCACGGCCAGCCCGACCAGCGCAGTCTCCTGGCGGCATCGCGAGAAGATTTGGAGGAGGGCGGCGAGGACGGCGGCGTGAGGGCTGTCGGGACCGCCTTTCTTGGTGGGGCGGGCACGTATGGCAAGTTAGAAGGGTGAGACCCGACTCCCGAGCCGAGCCGAGAGTTGTGGCTTGTGCAATTCAGCGCCTATGTGAAAGGTTCTCTGTACAAACCCCTGCACAAACACCGCATGGGCGGACACTTGCTCCTTTTACCCCCCTCCGGAGTTTTTTTTATTTTTTTGCTGCCAATATTCGTAATACGTAAATCATCGCCCGCTAAAATTCATCGCATCCCCAGCGCAGAGGGGCGCGGTCATGGCGCGGAAGGTCCGCAACGCGTCCTCGCGAAAGCCGCCACGGTCCGCACTCTTGGCCGCCGGTCCAGAGCCGCCGCCCGTCCCTGAGCCGCCGCCCACGCTCAACGTATGGGCGTGGTGTGCAGCACCAGCGAGCAGCCAGGCCTGCCGCTACTTTCTCTCGACGTGGGAAGAGAACCTCGCACGAAGCCGGTTGGCAAAGCACCTTGGAGTGGCGGTTCACATCCGCGTGCTTCACCTGGGCAACTTCGAGGAGTATCTCGGCGCCCCCGGTGTCGGCCTCGGCAAGGGTGCGAGTGAGGGCGGCACTCCGGCCTCCGGCGCGCTTCCCTCCTCTTTTTGGGCACTGGGCAAAGAGCTCGACGCGGGCGACGCGGCTACGTTTCAGTCGGACGCAGTGCGGCTCGCGGTGCTCCGAAAGTACGGGGGCCTTTGCATGGAGCTGTCGACTCTGATCGACCGCGCGAGCGGCGAGCGGCTCCTCAACCTCTGGCAGTGCATCTGCAGCGACGGCTTCCAGTACGAGCGAGCAGTGATTGCCGACAATGTCGGCTTCGTGCTCTCCAACAAGGGGGGTGCGCAGTGCCTGGAGGTGAACCAGAGCCAGACGTCGCCTGACGTGCGGTTGGCAGACTTCCGATCGGTGCAGAGCTCGAGCTTGATGGCGCTTCCTGAGGACACCTACATTGCCACGGTTCAGCGGCTGCATTGCGCTGCGTTGGAGAGCGCCGACTTTCGGCGCGCGTTGCGGGAAGGTAGCTTTGTGCGCTTCCGGGGCCGACCTGCCTTTAGCAACTACCACGACCCGACGTTTCGAGCGGAGCGTGCCGCCCACCTCCAACACTTGCCCCTGGCAGATGGCGACGTGACCGGGGTCCGCGTCCACGGCGCTGGGCTGGAGCAGTGGCTTCCGCGGCGCGAGCAGCGGTTACGGCTGGTCAAGGACTGCATTCGGGTGGAGTGGGAGATCAAAAAGGGTCGGATGCGCATCTGCGCTCCGCTCTTCCTCAACACGATCATGTCGCTCGTCATGGCGGCGGCACTGCGAGCGGGCAAAAGCCACCTCGACTTGCTTCAGACCACGGCCAAGCTCTTCTTCTTCTCCACTGCCTTTGTCGAGGCAGACTGGGTCAGCCGGGCGGCCGTTCTGAACAAGTTCCCTCGGACGGCCGAGTTTGGCACTGACTGGGGCGAGCAGCGCGAAGTCTTTCTCAAGGCGCTCAGCGGGCAGATGCGCTGCCCGCCGTACCCGCCAGAGATCCTCGGCGGCGTCCGCCTAGTCGATGCGGCGAGGGCTATGCTGGGCCTACGCGAGGCGATCGCGCAGGGACTCATGGGCCCCGAGCAGCTGAAGGGTCTCCCTCTGCTGAGTGCCCCGGTGCTTTTTGAGGAGATGTGGCGGCTCTGCCGGGGGAGCAACATTGAGGTTGCGCCGGGCACCGACTCGGGCGCCGGTCCCCGCCGCCGCATAATGCGCTTCCGGCGTCGAGAGCGGGAATCGCTGCCGCTTCGCACTTCTCCGCCAGCTCCTGAGAAGGAGGCCGCGCTGCCGCTCGGCACCTCGCCAGCGGCGGCGGCGCCTGGGCTGCACATCGACCTCATCACCTTGAGCAAGGCCGGCACGGGCCAAATTCTCCTCGAGGCGCTCAAACGGGACGGCTACGCCTTTGTGCGCATCCCTGGGCTCGGCGCCGCGCGAGCTGCATGCCTGAACGCGAGCACTTCCTTTTTCGGATTGCCGGCTGAGCAGAAGCGGAGGCATCGGGTCGCGCCAAGTGCCACTTTGCGTCACGCGGGGTACCTCGATTTTGGCAATGACTTGCAGGCCTTTGAAGTGCCGCTCCGGCTCAATGGTGGCTTTGCCTGGCCACCTGACGGAGAGCTGCAGCGCGCCGCGCGTCGGGCAATCGGGCTGCTCTTCTCAGCGTCGAAAGCCGCGCTGGCTGCCGTCGCCCTCGCCGCGGGCCTAGACTCGGCAGCAATCACTGCGATGCTCGACCTGGCCGCGTCGTCCGAGGCTGGGCGATCGGCCGGGTCCTCGCTCCGCTTGTGCCAGTACGACGCCCCTGCGACCGAGTCGGCGATTACGCAACCCTGGCACACGGACGGAACTTTATTGACTCTCGCCCCGGCCGGGACGGCTGCCCGGCTCGTGTGCCGCCACGCGTCCGACGGCTCACCCCTCGCCCCTGAGGCCTCGATGATGCCGGACGAGGCGCTGATGTTTGCTGGCGACGTGCTCTCGTTTCTGACTGGCGGCGCCATCCCGGCGTGCATGCATGCCGTGCTGCCGCCGCCCGCTGCAGGTCGAGCCTCGATGCCCTTCTTCTTGCGTCCGGGGCGGAACGTGACGTTGCGCCCTCCAGCAAGCTGCGCGGGGGTGCAGTCCATCACCATGGCGCAGCTCGAAAGGATGGGGAACGAGCGCGGCATCCGGCAAGGCTGGCCGTGGAAGCAATCCACCTACTACACCGACCGCGCACCGCCTTGATGGGCCATGGGCGCGGCCACGGGGCGGGGGGCAAAGGGCGCGAAGGGTAGAGCCACGGGGACAGCTTTTAAGTGGTGCGGTTGTCGTGGGAGCCAAACATCAGTACCACACCCCCCGCAGAAGTTGGAACCCAGCCCGACTCGGGCCTCCGTAGCTCGTCGCCGGACCTCATCGAGGTAGGGGGTGGCGTGCATGCTCCGCTACCTCGCCTCCAGCCGCTGGCACGCGACGCTCGCCGACCGGGCCGTGCTATCGCTCACGGGCGCCGACAGCCGCAAGCTGCTGCAGGGGCTGACGACGGCCAACGCCGACGAGCTCGCCGCCGGCACGCCGCTCTACACGGGCTTCCTCAATGCGCAGGGCCGCGTGCTCGCCACCGGCTTCCTGCTGCCGGCGTCGGAGGATGGTGTGGTCATCGACACGCACGTCGGCTCGGCGCCGCTCCTCCTCAAGCACCTGAAGCGCTACAAGCTCCGCTCAAAGGTGGCCATCGCTGACCGGTCAGCGGAGCTCGCCGTCGTCGCCGCGTGTGGCACCGCCGTGCCGCTCGAGCCCGCCGACGGCGTCGCGCTACCGGGCGACGGCGGCGCGTGGCGCGACCCGCGGCTCCGCTGCCTCGGCTGGCGCGGCGTGGCGCCGCGTGCGGACGGAGGCGACGCCCAGCCGCCTGCAGAGCTGCTTGGCGGGGCAGGGGGCGGGGAGGGGTCCTCCGAGGCGGCGCCGGCGGCGCTGCACGCGCTCTGCGAGGCGATTCTCGGCGTGGGCGACGGGCCCGCCTACTTGCCACCCACTGAGGCGCTGCCGCTCGAGAGCAACCTTGAGGTGCTCGGCGGCGTCGCGTTTGACAAGGGCTGCTACCTGGGGCAGGAGCTGACGGCGAGGACGCAGTCGCGAGGCGTGACGCGCAAGCGGATGGCGCCGCTCGTCTCGGCCTCCGTCGCGGCCGCCCTCGGCCCGCCGCCGCCCGAGGACGTCCTGCCCGCGGCCCTCTCTCACCTGCCGGCCGCGGAGAGGGCACTCGCGGCGGCGCTTCCGGTGGAGGCGTGGCTGGAGGCGCAGCCGGGCGGAGGCACGCCCGAGGGGGCGGGCAGCGCGCTGCAGGACGCGGCGGGCAAGCCGGCGGGCAAGTTGCGCCTCTTCGACAGCGCGCTCGGCCTCGGCGCCGCGCTCTGCCGCCTCGAGGCGATGGGCGGAGGCGTGCTCACCGCAGAGGAGGCGGGCGAGGTCGTCCCGCTGCGGCCGTCGTGGTGGCCGGCCGGCGTGCACTAGGACTGTGTGGGAATGCGGCGCGAGGTCGCGGAAATTGCCCCGCCACTGTCGCACCGCGCGTGTGTGCCGGTGATTGGGGACGGCGGCGTTTTATGGTCGCAGAGAGAACACGCTCGCACGAGAAAACGCGCCAACCGATTCTCCCCGTTGCTCCCGGAGATCATTGCTCTCCCAATCGCCAACCGCAATGCAGTCAAAGAATGCGAACTCGACAGGTGCAAGGAAGCACAGCCATTGAGGTTGCTCGAAAGGCCGGTGGCCTGGCGCGTGGCGGTCCGGTGCTGAGTTGCTAGTTCGCATTCTCTTCGACATACTCAACATGGGTGAGCATGCCTGGACAACTAAGGAGCTCGAGCAGGCGGCGGAGACATACGGCATCAAGAAGGTAGACCTCAAGGCATTCATCTTGCAGGGCGCGGTGAAGCAGCTGAACGACTACACAGCACTCGGGGTGGACCTCGGCTTCTTCAACGAGGCGACCGCCAAGTTATACGCAAATCGCAATCTGGAAGGCCTGCAACCCAGACTGCGTCTTCGATGCAACCTACACCGACTCGGGACCCTACCCGTCTCTCAAAACCGCTGAGAGCAGCTGCTACTGCAGCGACGCATCGACCTTGGCAAAGGGGCTGCGTGTACAGTGGGAAGGACTGTGTGGCCACAGCAACTCCTGCTCGATGCCACTCGCTCTTTCGTTTGAGACGTGCACCGACAAGCCGCAATTCCACAACCCGCTTCTTGGATATGTGGTGCTGGCGAGAGCCCGGAGTCCGCCCCCAAGGGCCTCTCTGACCTTCTCACGGAAATCTCGGGAGTCCAAACTGTCTACTACCGCCTCGAGTACGCGCTCCGACGCCTCGACAATCAGAACGTGGCGATGGAATCCCCCGGTTGCATTGGCGCGCACGTCAGGACCTGTGGCGAGGGGAGGGCCACGGTCCCCCCTCTGACGACGCTTGGGCGCGCCACGTCAGTGCCAGCGCGGCACGCCGCTGCGGCGGGACTGCCGTGGTGCGCCGCGGAGGGTGAGTGGACGAGGAAGCTTGTGAAGCCGCTAGCACCGCTCAACCTGGAGGGTCTGCCCACGACGTTTCTTATCGGCGCGCAAATGGCGGGGGTGTACGACCTCGTCGAGTTCATGACCGAGCGGCTGGGCTATTGCGGCGTCAACACAAACTTCTTCGAGTTCGGCGAGATGGGCGACGACGACGACGTTGCTCGGTACCGCTCTTGCTACAAGCACTGCAACGGCAAGCCGGCACTGGACCTGACGCCCGAGTACATGTACGCGCACAGCACCGTGGCGCCGCGACTTGCGGCACCGTATGTGTCGGCGAAGGTGCTCGATGGCGTGAGGACCATAGCACTGGTGAGGGAGCCAGTCACTCGGTTCGCGGCGGCGCTCGATCTCGAGCTCGAGCGATGCGACGGACTCATTGACGACACTCAGGGCCGCTGCAAGATATGCCACGCGACCAAGAGATGGAGCAATCATGAGGAGGCCACAATGCACCGCAAGGAGCTCTGCCGAGCTATGCGGAGCGGCTCGCTAATGCAACTGTTGAGCGAGGCGACGCGATCGGGCATCAACCGTTGCGCGACTAGCTGGAACCTGGCATGCCAGGCGGTCGACTACGGCCTCTATGCCAAGCAACTCACCACGTGGCTGCACATGCTCCCGAAGGAGCGAATGCTTGTGCTCCACTTTGAGGACTTTGTTGATGACCGGCAAGAGAATCGCCGGCGCGCCTACGACAGTCTGCACCGGTTTCTCAACACCCGAATGCCAGCTTTTGACACCGACTTTATTGGAGCGAACGAGAGGCCGGGCCGCTACCTAGGACGGCTAATCGAGTGCGTGGTACGACAGTTCTTCGAGGAGCCAAACGCGGATCTCGTATCTCTGCTACGCAAGACGTGGCCCGAGCAGGCACCCTTTGCGTCCGAGAAGTACAATGATGGCCTTGCCAACGGCCGCTGCAATGGCACGGATAGGTCAGCTGATCAGTGGTCATTGCCTTGGAGGGAGTCTCTCGAGATGATGAGGCGACGGCAGCAGCAGCGGAGAGCATCCGTCAATACTGGGGTTAGGTAAGTGCTAAAGGGTGTCGTCTCGACACTAGATCTATGATACAGGGCTTGTCGACTTGTGGGGATAGAGCTCATGTGAGCGGTGTCAGCTGTGTTTATTATCGTACCAGTGCATGAGGTGACATATGTTGTCATGCTTTTTAAATTATTTTTTAGAGCAACATACATTCGATTGTTCAAAAAAACGACACCAAAATCTAAATCCAATGCTGATGTGTGTGTACCTCCTCGTCGGTCCTCACGACCGATGGCTCCGTGGGCGGCGGTGCAACACGAAGCAGATCATGGAGCACATCGCTCAGCGCCAACTCGGCGCGGCGAGCGGTGCAGTCGTTGACGCCAAAAGTGAGCGTGAGCGCCTGGCCCTGCAGCATCATGCCGGTCACGTACTGTATCACCTCGCAATCGAGGCCGCGGCTGCGCTCCACACTCGTGCCTTCGCTCTCTCCTCCCTCTCCCCTCGATGCTGACGCCGGCGCTGACCTGCCGGTGAAGACGCCCCCCTGCTGCTGCTGGCGCGGCAGCGAGCCGATGCAAAACTCCGACCCGACCCGCCTCACCTGTCCGAGCAGCGGAGGGACACCGCGGTCAGCTCCGCTACGCCCGCCCCCCAACACACCTCGCAAGGGAGTGGGCACCTCAAAGGGTGGCGCGGAGCTGATCGTGAAGAAGAAGTGCGTGTAGTGGTGCCCAAAGGACGTGATGTTTTGCGGAAGCCGCTTGCCAGAGAGCGTGTCCTTGTACCCGCGGTGCAAGTGCGCGACGCCGAGCAGCTCTTCGCCTCCCGGGAGCGTCACAAACACGCCGTTGAGCGAGATGCGGCACTTCGCGGCGGCGCAGTCGAACTTGCACCCGCCGGCTCGCGCCAGGGCGACCAAGCGCGCGCTCGACTCGCAGCCGCCTACAAGAGCAGCGTTCCGCCTGACGGGCGCCAACCACATACCGACGGCGATGCGGCCGCCGTCGGGTGCGCGCCGACACGCATCCAGTCCAGCCCGCGGGTGACGTGAGCGACGCTGTCGACTCGCGCCCTCCGCCTCTGGCCCCTGGAGACATTCTTCTCGAGCCGCGACGTGCAGACGACGCCGGGGGAGAGCCAAGACATGAAGTAGAGCTCGCGCGAGGCGGCGGCACCGCTCGCCGGCGGCTGCCGCTCGAAGAAGGACTGGGAGCGGCCGCCGCATCTCTTGTCGCTCGCAGCCTTGCGATCGCCCACGGTGCGGCCGGGCCCGTCTCCGCCCCCGAGCGTGGCGACGAGGGAGGCGGGGCTTCCGACCAGCCTCAGGTGGAGCGGGCCGAAGCCGGAGGCGTAGCCCCTCCGCGGGAAGGTTCCGAGAAGGCTCACGCCTCCGCCGTGAGCGGTGAGCCGCGCGTCGACGACGGGAAGCAGCCCTTTGAGCGCCGACGCCTCGAGCAGTGGCGCCACGTCCGGAAGCTTTCGGTTGCCTCCCCGCCCGCTGCGGCGCGACGCGTTCCGGGCAGCAGCAGGCGCGCGTCCCGCAGCCGCGTCGTGGCTTCGGAGCCAGCTCCAGTGGAGCGGCCGCCAGCTCGCGCTGAGCAGCATGATGAGGGTGGCCTTGCGCCGACCGAATGCTGTCCGCGAGGCGTGCGAATACATGCGGAGTGGCCCCGTGAAGCCTCTGCACTGCGTCATCCAGTCGATGCGAACGCTCGCGACCATCGCGCATGAGCTGCACCCAAGGCTCTCCGCGAGTGCCTTGGGGATCGCGACGACCGACGGGTTGTACGCCTGCCTCTGGAAGACTCCGGGCAGCAGCAGCGTTTGCTGCGGCGCAGCGAGCACCCGCAGGGGCCGCCCAGCCAGGAAACTTGCCGCCGGCTGGTCGAAGAGGCCCCACGTCCCCATCCACATCTTCTTCTGCGAGTCGTGCCGCGAGACGTGCCGACCTGCGAGGCCCCACATCCCCACCCGGTGCTTCCGCTCGCGACGCCACTGGCAGAGCTTGGGCTGGCGACAGGCGAGACAGTTCGATGCGTTGCAGGTTCCGGATCCAGCGCGTGGCTCGAGCGCGTGCAGGCGCTGCATGAGAGCGCCAACTCGCGAAAAGAATTTAAATAATCCAACTCTCTCTCACAGCACTGTCCCTACAACATGACCTGGAGGCAAATGATCGGAGTGGGAGTCAGAAATGTGGTCCTTGCGCGAGGGGAGCTCGATAGACTCGAGGGGCCAGGATATGCAGCAAGGAGGGCGGAGCTGCGCCGAAAGGCGAAAGAAGCCGAGAGAACAAGGGAACGGCAGGCGGCGGCGGCGCAGGACGAGGCAGAAGAGAATGACGCGACAGAGGAGGAAGTGACAAGGGAGAGAACGACGAGAGTGGGACGGCCGCGAGGTGGCATGAAGGTTGCAGCGAGAATCGGCGAGAGACTGCGAAAAGAGATAGGAAGAGGCAGACTCCCTAGGGTGGGCGACGGCTAGCGCATCACACTCCTCTCCTTAAAATCCCTGTGTGGTGGCGGCGTGCCGTCCTCCCATCCCCCCCTTGGGTTGTCTGTTTTCTTTCTTTCTTTCAGCACTGTCCCTGAGAGATAGGAAGAGGCAGACTCCCTAGGGTGGGCGACGGATAGCGCACCACACACCTCTCCTTAAAATCCCTGTGTGGTGGCGGCGTGCCGTCCTCCCATCCCTCCCTTGGGTTGTCTGTTTTCTTTCTTTCTTTCAGCACTGTCCCTATAAACTCGAGGGGCCAGGATACGCCGCGAGGAGGACGGAGTTGCGCCGAAAGGCGAAAGAAGCCGCGAGAACAAGGGACCGGCAGGCGGCGGCGTCACAGGACGAGGCAGAAGGGAACGACGCGACAGAGGAGGAAATGACAAGGGAGAGAACGACGAGAGTGGGACGACCGCGAGGTGGCATGAAGGTTGCAGCGAGAGTCGGAGAGAGACTGCGAAGAGAGATAGGAAGAGGCAGACTCCCTAGGGTGGGCGACGGCTAGCGCACCACACACCTCTCCTTAAAATCCCTGTGTGGTGGCGGCGTGCCGTCCTCCCATCCCTCCCTTGGGTTGTCTGTTTTCTTTCTTTCTTTAGCACTGTCCCTCTGTGTTCGTGTGCGTCGCCCATCTCTCCCTGGAGATGACTGCTCTATTTATTTATTTAGCAGACAGGCTCGACACAGGTGCGAACTGGCGCGTGCTAGTACTATCACCGGCACACCACCGAAAAGAATTACACGCGGACTGGCGCGCACTGGCACTAACTCAGGCATACCTCGAAAAAGTTCGCCGCCAGCACGCTGCCACTACAAAGGCGTGGCTCGAGAAAAAGATTTAGAGCGGCACCTCACCCCAAGCCTAGCGCGCGGCGGTATTAACAAGTTCTAGGCCCTCCTCAAGGTGAAAGAGCTGTCTGTTCTAGACTCTCCTGGTGTGCTTGATCTGGTTCGGGCTTGTGGAAGTCTGCGTGCGTCCTTTGCTGGCGAGGATGCACTAGAAAAATGCACCTCGGGCGTTGCGTGCCCGACGCTGCTCCTCTCTGTGGCCGAGAGAGTGCGTGAACGCATGCACACGGGGCTGGCGACGGGGGGGGAGGCGGCGAGGTCGCACTACAGCGGGGGGAGAGACTGCGCAAAGTCAGCCACAAGAGGAGCCGCGATGTCTGCCGTCTCTGGCTCCAGAGCTTGGGCCGCAATTGCCTTGATGGTCGTCACCGTCGTCTGCGGCGCGAGCTCGACCCTCTGCGCCAAGATCATCTTCTTGCTCGAGGTGTACGACTCGGAGGGGCAGCCCACCAACTTTTTCAAGCCGCTGGTCGTCACCACGCTCGTGTATGGTTCGCTTCTCGCCTCGCTGCCGCTCCACGTCGCACAGTACAAGTTGCTGCGCGGATGGAGCACGCCGCTGCCACTGCCGCGGAGAGGAACCGTCCTCACCCTCCTATGGCCGGCAGTTTTTGACACGCTGGCTCTGACGTGCCTTCTCGTCGGACTGACAAAGGTGCGCGCTTCCGTTTACGAACCGATGCGAGGGTCGATCATCATCTTCACCGCAATCTTTCGTGCGGCGTTGCGCATGCCGCCCGTCTTGCAAGGTGGCCACCTTCTGGGAATCGTCTTGATCAGCGCGGCCGTTTGCCTGGTTGGCACCTCCGTGATGGTGGATTCCACGCCCGGGAGCGACCCGTCGAGCGGCATCCTCTGGATCACTTGCGGGTGCCTCCTTGTCGCGGCGCAGGCCGTGGCGGAGGAGAGAGTCATGGATTCGGACGGGAACGGCCCAGAGGCAACCACACCGCCCCTGGTTGTCAAGGGCATCGAAGCGGGGTGGGGAATGCTCTTGATGCTGTTCATCGCGCTGCCCATCGCTGCCCTCGCGCCGGGTGACGACGTCGGCGGCTGCTTTGAGAACTCGCGCGACTCTCTGGTCATCTTCTTCTCGCCAGACAACCCACTGCTGCGGATGATGATTTCCGCCTATCTGCTGGCAATGCGCTTCTACTCTCTCGGTGCCATCTTCGTCACTTTCTACCTCGACGGCTTGTGGCGCTCCATTACGGAGTCCTTCATCCCCCTGACGCTCTGGTTCTTCTCACTGCTGCTCTTCTACTTCTCCGACGGGGCCCATGGCGAAGCGTGGACTCGCCAATCTTGGCTCCAGCTCGCTGGCACCGCCATCCTCCTAGTTGGGGTCGCCATCTACAGCAGCGTCAAAGCTAGCTCTGCGGCCTCAGCGAGTGAGCGAGCGAGCGAGAGCGAGTCGATTCATCGGACACTCAGCCAGAAAGATCAACTGTCAGGAAGCGCGTCGAGCTGACACACCCTCAGACCGCCTGCTGCGTGCCGCGCACCCTACATTCTAAACCGCTACCCGCTACACAGTACGTCACTACACTCTAAAAAGTACCCCGGCACGCTGTGCTTTCATATGCCGTGGAGATGCGAGGGTCGCCCCCCCTGCCCCACCACTTTGTGTGTGTGGAGATGTTTACCTTACCTTACCTTACCTTCCATATGCCAGAGGCCGTGGCGCGTGGGGCTCACAGAGGCTCTGCCGAGTGTATCGATATGGCTTACGTGCCCCTCCCCCGGCCGCACGCATTCAACCGCCGTAGAGCGTAGCACGTTCGATTTCGAAAAGGGAAACGACCAGTGCATTTTTACAAAATTGTCTTTTTTCGCACATAATCTGTCCCACTTCTGAGTGATGGCACACAGCCACAAAAACGGCGTCGGCGAGCCACATACAACGGATACACACACGCGACGGCCTACGCTTCAGTTTCTAGCCGCACTAGCCTCAGCAAAGCCTGCTCCACGACCTCTTCCGAGCTCGCCGCCGACCCCTCCGCCGCGACGGCGCCGCTCGCCGCGCCGCTCGTCTCCCCGCAAGGCGACGACCGCAGCAGCGACCGCAGCAGCTGCCGCGGGTCCCTCGACCCGCCGTGGTGAAGCACTTCGGCGCACCACGCGCGGCCAGCGGCGCCCCCGAGGGCGTCGTGCGCGAAGCCCGCCCCACGCCACACGCGCGCGGCCACGGAGCGAGCGTACAGGTAGGCGTAATAGTGGCCACCGTAGCTCGCCAGGTGGCCAAACGAGCCGAGCCGCGCGCCCGCCTCCGCGGCAGCGGCGGACGGCAGCGGAACGGCGGTGTGCTTCGCGTGGAGGGAGGTGACCAGCGCCGCCGCCTCCTCCTGCGAGGGCGGCGAGGGGCTGCGGTGCAGCTCCAGGTCGAGCATCGCTTGCACGGCGTCGAGCTGCAGCCTACGGCCAGCGCTCGCCTCGAGGTCAGACACTCCCTCGTGGGGGAGAGGAGCAGGCGACAGGGAGGTGGCGGCCGCATCGCGCCGCCGAAGGGCACCGCCGAGACTGCGCGCGAGAGGGCCGCCGCCTCTGCCGGAGGGATCGGCGAGCCTGCTCGTGAGGAGGAGGAGGAGGAGGAGGTGAGGCGCGCGCGCGAGTCTGCCGGCTGCTCCTCCTCGGCGGGCGGGCGAGGCGCCGGTCTCCATGTGCGTGCTCCACGCCTCCAGGGCCGGCGGGTGCAGGGCGAGGCGCTCGAAGAGGACGGAAGGCACCTGTCGCAAGCGCGATTCGACTCGGCTGCCTCTCGGCTGCCTCTCGGCTGCCTCTCGGCTGCCTCTCGGCTGCCTCTCGGCTGCCTCTCGGCTGCCTCTCGGCTGCCTCTCGGCTGCATCTCGGCTGCGTCTCGGCTGCATCTCGGCTGCGTCTCGGCTGCATCTCGGCGAGGCCTCGACAAAATCGGGAGCGACGCGCAGCCCTCCAAAGTGGTGCGACGGGGCGCGCGAGAGCAAGGCGTGGAGGGCGTGCCCGACCTGAGGGGGGGGGGGGGGGGGGGTCCTCTTCCCTGGGGGGGGGGCCCCCCCCCCCTCTTTGGGGGCGGGGGGCGCCCCAGCTTTCCCGGGAGAAGGGGCTCCGAAATCAGCTCCAGCCCCAAACCCCCCCCAAAGAACGTGGGGAGGCCCCCCAAACAACTCTCCCCCTCCAGGGAGGGGGAGGGCTCGAACCGCGCTTCGGGCGAAGGAGGGGCCGACGCCCTCCCCTCCCCCCCCCCCTCCCTCCAGAGCAGCGCCAGGTAGTACTCCACATCTCCGCCACCGAGTGGCAGTCCGCCCTCCGGCTCCTCCCCCGCCGCGGGACCGGCCGGCGCCTGCAGCGAAAGTTCGGAGAGGGGGGTCCGGGAGGTGGGGAGGCCCGCCCGCCGCCTGGCTGTCTCTCGCCGCCTGGCTGCCTCTCGCCGCCTGCGCCGCCCTGTCCGCCGCGGCGCGAGCCCGGATGGCGGCGGCCTAGTCATTTGATTGATGGTTGGTGATGAGCCATCCATTCATTATGACGGATCGTCCGGGTGGCGGCGGCCTCGGCGCGCGCGGCCGGCATCAGCTCCGCGCAGAGCGAGGCGAGCGAGGCGAGCGCCTAGGGAGAGGCTAGGTAGAGGTGGCAGAGGCCCCTGAGACGCCACCGCGAGTGAGCGGGCGGCGGGGTGCGTGTGAGCGCGTCCGCGTGTGCGCGCGACCCTTGCTCCGGTGTGTGCGTGGACTTGTTGCGGGGGCGGGGTGATCGCCGCGGCGGGGCGCGCCTCCGCTGACGAGCGGCCGAGCCGGCCTCGAAGTGCTCTCAGGTACTCTCGGCTGGTCTCGGCTAGTCTCGGCTGCTCTCGGCTGGTCTCGCGCCGCCTCTGGCGAGCGCGCGAGGCGGCCCTCGCCCCAGCAGTAGTGCGCGTACGAGGCGTGGCCGGCGGCCGTGGCGAGGCGGGCGCGGGCGGAGAGCATCTCGCCCATCGCGGCCAGGGAGGCGGCGCCGAGGGCGGCGCGGGCGGAGGCGAGGTCGCGGCGCGACTGGGCGCAGCAGCAGTGGCGGAGTGCCTCGGTGAGGGCGTGCTGCTGCGGCGGGACGAGGAGCTGCGCCTCCCCTCGGCTCGACATGCCCACCCGCAGCCTGTGCGTCAGCCTCGCCGGCGCCGCGCGCAGCGCCGAGGCGGGCAGCCAGACGCCCTCCGAGCCTCGGGAGGGCGGCGCGGCGGCGGCGGCGGCGAAGCGAGAGGCGGCGGTGGCTGCCTCGGCATGCAGCGCCTCTAGCCGCGAGCGCTGCGGCGCCGGGAGGTGCGCGCCGTCCTGCGGGGGAGGGGAGAGGGCGGCCGCTCGGCGCTCGGCGCTGACGCTCTCGCAGGCGTGACGCTCCCTCCCTCTCCCTCTCCCTCTCCCTCTCCCTCTCCCTCTCCCTCTCCCTCTCCCTCTCCCTCTCCCTCTCCCTCTCCCTCCGACTCTCTCTCCCTCTTTCTCTCCCTCCCTCCCTCTCCTGCTCAAACTCGGAGACGAAGGCCCGAGCCAGCCTCGCCTCGGCCTCGCACAGCGGAGCCTCGTCCGCGCCACAGCCCGGGTCGCTCTCTCCGCAGCCCCGGTCGCTGCCTCCGCCGGTGGAGAGGGCGCTTGCACCACGTGCCGCTGCGGCAGCAGCCGCGTGCAGCTCCGCCGAGGTGTTGAGTCGGTGGAGCGTCTCGCACAGCTCGCCATGGGCCGCGTCGGCGGCCCGCACCATCTCCTCCTCCGGGTGGGCGGAGCGCGCCAGCTCGAGCGGGTCGACCAGCCCGCAGACGGTGCTCGAGAGGGCGTCGAGGCCACGCACGATGCGCCGTGGCGCCGCGGGCCCGCCCGAGCGGTGAGCCGAGATGACCGCGGCGGCGAGGGCGTCGCAGCGCGCCGCCGTCCGCCGGGCGAGCCGGGCGCAGTCGCTCGGGACGCCGAGGCCGGGCACGCCAAAGAGGACGGCGGTGCGACGCGGGAAGAGGGAGGCCAGCGAGGCCATGTCGCCCCGGCGTGGGCGGGATACGGCGCTGGAGGCGGCTGGGGCCTGAGGCGGGGTGAATGGCGGACGGAGGTTGGTCGAGAGGCTGGCGCCTTGTCGCTTGGGTCGAAAAAGAATTTTAAAATCACTAGTGTGGGACCTGCGGCGGTACCCGTCTCTGTTGTTCGGGCAGTGAGAGACGCAGGATCTGCACGCCAAAGTGGGCCACTCCGCATTTGCATTTTGGTTTAGGGTTGTCGGAGATCATCCATCAGCACTCATGTCTCATCAGTCAGTCACGTCAGTCAAAGCAGTTCGTGGCACTCATCAGTCAGTCACGTCAGTCAAAGCAGTTCGTGGCACTCATCAGTCAGACACGTCAGTCAAAGCAGTCGTGGCACGTGGAGCAGTCGCTGCATGCAACGGCGCCGCCACACGCTCCGGACGACCCCGACAACCGACACACCACGCACAATGGGAGGCTATCGCGCACGATCGGGCATCGCGCCGCAAACAACTCGCCGCACAGATGGGGGGGAGGCAGAATCCCACACACACCGGAGCAGCACAGACACCTTACACGTCAGCGCTCGCTCGATGTGGCCGGCGCTCTGTCCCCTCGGTCCTATCTCGCCTTTTCAACGGCGGCGTGCGGCCACGCGCCGCGCCGAGGCGGTCTCGGCGGGAGACCTCGGAGCCGCAC